AGCAACCGCTGCCGCCGCCGGCACCGCTGCCGTCCTCTGCGTCGCCCCTCGCCGCCTCCGTTGCCGACGACAACGCGGACGTCGTCGTCGCCGCCGCCGCCACCGCTCTTCGCTCACCACCGTGCGTACCCCCATCCCCGCACTCTCCTCGCGCTGGGTCTCCACTCCTCGACGACGAATCAAATGCAAATGCGCTCCAAAGGGTTTTTAAGACCATTGCTTTCATTTGTAGTTTTTACGTCGTTTCTTCTTCTTCCGGTGTTGACCAATGGCAAGTTGATATTTTTTCTGGGTATTATAATTATATTAAATTATGATTTATTTTAATTTTATTTAATTCAATAGGAAATCTGTCGTGAATACATCTTCTTTCTTTTGTCATTTGGCGAGCTGTAAATAAAGAGGGTACATCACAAGATTCGATGTGACAAAATTGTATTACTATTGCTAAATTTTTTTCATCAGATCAAAAACTAGTGTTTGGTGACATTGAAAAATAAGGGGGCTACATTAGGGAAACGGGGTTTATTAAAATTTGGTAGGTTATTTATCAGAATTATGCAGGACTTTTATCTTAAATATAGGTATTTTGTGTCGGAAGAAGAGATTACATCAATCTCAAGTTTCAATCAATTGCAAATTTTAGCGACTTTTAGACAAACCGCTTTGACACTGCAATAATGTATACCTTTTTTCTCCCTAATCATTAAAATACTTGTCATTGTAATTCTTTATTATTCTCTTTTCAGTGAATTCTTTTTTGTTGGTCGTAAAGGCACTGACATTTATTGCGCAATTATCGCGGCATCGCGAAACTTTTTCAGTTCTTATTAAATCAGTTGTCGAATAGCAGCAATACCTCGTAATTTTACGCAGACCAGTCAGATAAATTTATCAATATTAGAAGCCGCTGGAGTACAAATTTCTTTCAAATCCGAATGAGGGTGTTATATCTTATGATTCTCATTGCTTAAGTAATTAATGATTTGGACTAACGTAATTTTGATACAGTGAAGCATTGTTTGACGTTTTCTTTCATGTTATATTGAAAACCATTTATTTGACGTAGAGTGAATCTTAGTTTACTAGATCAAAGATGTAATCAATGTTTGATATCTGATTTTGATGATATCATTGAAAGATACTTTTCGTGAGGGGCTTTTGGTAATTCCTATACAAACTCTCGTGTTAAATATATTTGCAGGGTATCAACAATATAATTTATTCTTTAGTCGTTGTGATTATAACGGTTTTGTGACTATTTCTTTATTTGTATTAACACTACACGTGCTTTTGCACACTTTTTTCTTCTTGCACGGCGTATGGATTTCCTAAAGATTCGCAATGTGGAGACCCGGCGTGAAGTAGAGCTGGTTGTTGTGTGTTGTAATGTTTTGTTTTGGAAAGGTGTTTGAGAACAATGTGGTGTGTTATGAATGTTGAAACTTGTTTATAACATGAGTTCTTCACCGTTTTTCTGGGTTACAACTTGACAAGATTTGTTGGTTCACAGTGTCAAGACTAGTGAAAATAATATGCTATTCTCAACTGATATATTGACTTCTAATAAATAATTAATCATAAATAATTCAGACAATCCAGGGCAGACATGGAACTATAATAATTATCTTTTTACGTGCTTCATACATTCAAATTAAGGATCAGCATTAGACTAATTAGACTATTTTTCACTGTGTTTTTATAGCTTGTCGCACTCATGAAGCCATTAATTAAACCATGCGACAATAGAGCACAATTCCGATTCAATATCTCTTTTATGTGACACATCTCTCCGTCTGATAGTAACGAGTATGTTTGTGGACATGTAGCTATTGGCAACCAGATATCGCTTCTGCGGTCCTACGAATGAATGGGCATCTGGAAATTTTGGATTAAAGTTGATTAATTGATAAATTCAAGAGTAGAGGTTTTAAATCGGTATGGAATCCTACGTTCTATTCAATTTTGTGTCTGGTCGAGATAACTATAATTAATGCCATCAGCATTCGAATATTACGAAGTTTGGAAGAAATAAAATGTTAGAACTTGGAAAAATTTCGTGTTATACACTCTTATTGATTTGCAGAACGACCTAAACTTACTTATCGTGAAATTTACTGAAGATTAATCCTACTTATAGTGAAATTTACTACGCAGCGCGATATAAAGATTAGCGCAGTTTGTGAAATTTTCATCAGTGGATCTTTTTACTCGTACATCCGTTCTATCTGTTCTTTAGTGAAGAGATGTGAACTTGTCAGATGGGAATAGTTAGAATGGCATTTATATAGTTTTTTTCAGTGTCAAAATAAAAGAAAACATTTTGTTTTTCAGTGTTTTGATTTCTAATATTTAAATAAAAAAATTAGTCTTCAAACTCAGTATTATATTTTTGCAATGTCCTTGTTAGCACCATATACAGTTGGAAAACCTGAAGACGTTACTTTACGTCTATAGTAAGAGGAATAAATGATGCTAAATTGAATTTATTTTGTGTGCGTTTTGAAGCGACCGCTGGACCTAGCATTGTGATTTATTGCTGTGACAGAGAAGACTTGCTATTGAAAGGCTGATTATGGTTTTCCTGGAATAAGCTTTATTGCATTTCGTATTTACAACGGCTCATTGGGATGGTGTGTACATCATAATAGTATGCATTTGGAGGCAATTATTGATCGCGGAAAAGGAAATATGCCGATTTCTTGGTACATAAAATGCTCATTCTTCGTTAGGTGAAAAGGCTCTTGTGATGAAATTTGTTTCAATTGCTAGTGGCAGCTTGTGAGCAAATAGTGAAGAAATTCTACTTTTCTACGAATTGCAATTTACATGTACCAATTATATTTGCATTTTTGTTGAAATACTTTTTGAGCAAATGACTAAATGAGTAAACGTTGAGAATGTAGGTATTAAATAAAAAAACAATATGAAAAAACAAATTCTCAGCAGATTCTAACGAAAAATATTATTCAAAATCGACCATCTTCATGAGATATGCCGTGAATTTATTGTAATCTTATCTTTCGAAGTGTGTTTGGACATGATTCAACGAGTAAATTATTTTATCTTTTCAAAATAATACATTTTTATGAAATAGTTTGTAATGCTTCTAGAAAAAGTTATATGATCAATGTAATTTTTGCCATAAAATGCAGTTATCTTAATATATAAAATAAATAGTCTGCTCACTTAGAATCGCAATATCAAATAGATCTGGCCATTTTATTAAATATGATTAATCTTTTTATCAATATTGTGCTCTCCCCAGGTCATCAAGGTCTACAAGGGTCTCGTTAAAAATATATTTTTATTTTCTGCTGTTAGATTCTCTTGTCTTTGAACTTCTGATTCTCAAACTACTCATATTTTATAATACAAATTGAAAATGAAATTCAGTTGTGGTCGTTGTCGGCATGTCTAATAGTCGCTATGAGTTAGTTCATTAAATTCAGGAGAAAATTTAAAACACCTATATTGTCTTTTCTTGTAATTTTTCTGCAACATAAGAACGTCGGAACGTCTCATTCAAGTGAACGTTTAGAGGCGTTCTTGGATAAAAAGACTTTTTGCGTGTTTGCGAAAGTTTCAACAGTGCTCCCGAGATTTTCGAATCCATGCCCACAATCGGTTCTCTGGCTCTGCTTTGAGGCGTCTGACCAATGGGGAGATTTCCGTCTTCTCAAAAAAGTCTTTCTGTGCAAATTATTAGGTTTTTTTGACTTGGCATTGTTTAGAAAAATATCCTGGCGGTCGTTAACTCTTTTTGGTTGGTTCTATTGATTTTTTAGCAAAGAGATAAGGCAGGGATTTCGGCGTTTCAGGCGGCATTGACTGCGTCTCTTGCAGTGCCTGGTGATCAGTAACACTGAAACAAAAGGAAATTTCTAGCTGCAGGCCTCAGTAAAGTACACTGAGGGCGGCGTAACTTATTACATACTTGCCATAAGACACTGAGTCCGTTTTAAAATTGCCTGGAAGTATAGCTTACGCTGACGCAGATAAACAAAGGATCTAACGTCATGATTCAAACTGTTCCAATCTTGAACTACAAGATCTCCGGATGGAACAGTTTCTTTGATTATAATTATTTTTGCTGATACGAGTAGATGAATCCAATAATGTTGCCTCAAGCGGTGCTAGTTTAAAGATATGCGTCTTCTTTGGGCAAATTTGCATATGAGGGTCACCGTGGGTGTCCTTCTCTGTGTGCGGGCGATGAGGTTGAGAAACAGGGCATTGAACTCGTGTTCTCATCGGCTTTCTGTCTAATTTTCCGGTCTAACGAAACTAAAGCTTTTTCAGTCCGCTTCTGTGAAGACATAATTAACTAGTCACAAAGCGTTTACACAACAAGTTTAAGCTTACGTTCTTTTTATTTGGCGATAAAGCGTTTAGTTATGAATATAAACGATATACGTTGAATGTTAAACAACTCTTATATTCAAGGTATGTATTCGTATGTACAACAAGACGAATTCACGATGAGTTAACATTTTTTGGATTTAGTTTATTCTCTCACCTCTACACTGTATGTAACGAAAATAATGGGGTGGGATCAAATGATATCATTACAGGTTCAAACTGCAATCATTACAGGTTCAAAAAAGTAAGTAGTTTTGATTGTTTCTAATTTAAACATTTGGGAGCAATATTGAATATGAATGAAAATAGACATATAATATTATGTAATTAATTATAATAAACATTTTACGAGTACAACTCTGTTTCAACCAGAAAATAATGCAATCATTACAAAAAATGTCGTGATGAAAAGTGATCCCTTTCACATTTGCAATATTTTATATCTAATGTTACCACCCCTCATTGATAGGCCACATTTTAATTGCCGAAGAGGATTTCAAGAATTTGTGAGGGATGGAAACCTTGGAATATGTTTTCTAGTAAGGATCTTGATTAGTACAACGCGGATGTACAGCAGTCATTTGTTGGTTAATAAAATGTACTGCAAACATGTTGACTACATAATAATTATAATAATAAAGTAATAATAATAATAATAATAATAATAATAATAATATCTGATCATGATTGTATCTAATACCCGTCTCTTGTTGCTAAATGTTCAATATACAATCAATTACGCAATAACTCAGGAGCAATTGACAGATGTAGAATGGAATGATCCGTGTAGCAAGGTCCGCGAAGTGCCTCTGGGAGAGTTCGTGGGCGAGCGAAGTGTACAATGGATCGGCCCGGATGCTCGGCCATTTCCGCGCAATTACACATGGCTCGGAGCGTGGCCCGCCGCCAACCGTCGCCATCACCAACAGCTTTCAACTTCGCTACCCCCACGTCTACACATCCGTCATCCTTGCTCCTTCCAAAGTAACCGCTGTAATTAAGCGCAAATTCAGTAACCAACATCTCTTTTATTATTAGAAATTAAGCACATGACAATAGAATTTGTCATAGCGAAAATATTTAAATAAAAACTATCAATCACAGCCCAACCTTCTTTGAACAAGTGTCCATAACTTCTTTATCTGTAACTATGAATCGGAAATTACTTCTGTTCGTCACACACTATTAGGACACCGACACTACCATCGACATCGTCAAACCGATCTGCCACACTTACCCTTCTCACCACGAAATAATAATAATAATAATAATAATAATAATAATAATAATAATAATCATCATCACTATTAGCACCACTATCGTCTCCGCCGCCGTTATGTGCGTCCGAGATTTAGTTTGTAGTACGGTCACTTAAGGCGTCAATGGTCTCGGCGACTATGATTCCAAGAGAAGTGTGACTCTTCTCTTTCAAAAGTAGTGTTTAAAGTTCTCAAAGGTAAAGGCAACCAACAACTACAAACCACAACACCCACACATTGGAGAGACACTTAAAAAGAACGAGCCCAGCAAAACAATAGGAACGTGTACTTTGCAGCGCGATATTGGAGGGATCTTGTGGTAACTATGTGACTGTTGGAGCAAACGATTGTATCTATGGAAAAATAAATTAATTATTTTAATGTAATCAATTTTTGTTCTAAATATATGTGTATGTTACGTAATTGTACGAAATATTCTTGTTATAAAAATTATGTTAATAATACTATAAAATAGAGTTCGAAATATTAACACGAGATAACAGAAGCACACGTAAGACTGTGCGCTTCCAACCAAATCTTAGGCCAAAGAAAACAAAGTTATGTTAATTAAGATTAATTAAAGTTAAGATTTTTAGTCGACATTTTAAATAAACTATTTGAACCGAGACATGAGCTTCATATTTGATTTGACAACGCTACTGATGAAATAACCACCTTTTCCTCTCACGTCAAACCAAACGAGAGCTCAAGACAACGCGCGCGGATTGTACCTTTACAATCAATATCAATCAGTCGAATCATGTTCAACTCTTCTACTCTCTACAAAACACCACCGCGTCACTACAACACCGACAGCATCATCACCACCACCTTCGGAGAGGACCTCCTCTGCACTCACGAGGCGATGTGAAGGACGACAAAAACATTACCTGTTAGCACTACATACGAATCCATTCCATAATTAGATTAAAATCAAGGATGAAACTAATACTAAACAAATCAGTAAGAAAATGACTAAATTAATGAAGACACTAAGAAGGTGAAGAGCAAGAGTTAATCAGTTCGTTGCTACTTGGCCGTTCTGGAGACGCTGCAGTCCCAGCCAACGTTTCGGCTGCAATTCTGCGACTT